TCTGATTTTCTTAAGCATTTCATCACTCATATTTTTAAGAATATGCCTGTAGGGAAAAATCATGCCGTGAAGGATGCAGGGCCAGCAGCAGCAATAACAGATCGTAGCCCCTGGTCACTGGGCTCTGCCATTCCACTGTTACCATCTCGACTGTGGAAACCGTGTTAATTTGCTTCATGTTTCTACAACCTATTGAATGCCTGATATTAGGAGAAAACGCAAGGGAATCGAGGAATATTTTATTCTATCTATATCTACTTGAATCTCAACTTTCAGGAAAATTTTTAAAAATAAGGCCTGCTGACACAGCTATGGGCGCCCTGCTATGTGAGGATCTGTGGGAAAGTAACTCTTCCTTCTTGTTTTATTGGGTTACCCACTAGCTACTGCATACCTGGTGCCTGACCACTCTTGAAAAAGATACAGGTAAAATAATTTTTAGTTGAAAGCAAGGCAATAGGACCTCTTAGCAGAAATGAGGATGAGCTCAGGTTGACACAGCAGACTGAACCTGGGGAATGCCTGCTGATTCCTGGAGGACCGACTCAATCAGAGGCTACTTCTGTCCTCACCATGCAGAGGAGCGGAGGGTCACCCCAAAGCTCCAGCTCCACTCCCGAGGTCTGGGAGTCCAAGGACTACGGGACCCATAAGCCTGCACTTCCTCCCGGGAAAGTGAAGAACTGTCCCTGGGGTTTGCGTAGAGAAGCCTGTGTTGCACCCGGGCATGATTTACGGGTGGGGTCATTTGATCTGCTATATAACCTCACTCGAATTTCCTCAGCCTCGGTTTCTGCATCTGAAAAATAAACAGGTGCCCTTCCATAGTTAGATAACTTAGTTCCAGTGCTAAAATTTTACCTCTTTGATTCTATACTGAGATGGGTGCTGCTCCAAGAAAAGAGAATGTTGACAGACTACGTCATGCGTCATCTTGCTCTCTTTGAGCCCAACCTTCACAAACTCATTCTCTGACTCACTTTAGAAACACCAAGGAGATTAAAAAACAGGCTTCAGAACATCGAAGGAAAAAGATACTAGGTTTCCCTAAAATGTTAACTGATTTTAGAAAAAATTTGTATTTTATCCTTTCCATGATTGTGAATGCTTAGTTCCACAGAACCTAAGTGATCCATGAAAACCAGCTCCTCCCAAATAAAAAGTATAAACATATGTTTTTGCAATGTATGGTGTATAGAATATGTCCAGTATTAATTATGGCACAGTGATAAATTGGTGATGTTATAAACATTAAACAGAAGCAATTTTATCTCATTACCCATTATTGCAAAAGTAATAACAGTTTTTGCATTGTTGGAATTTGCCATTTGATATTGGAATACATTCTTAAGTAAATGTGGTTACATTACACATCATTTTCATGCACATTCCTCACAAATTTTTTGCTAGTGACTTACTACTTGCTGTTTGTTTTATATTTATTTTAGACTATGGAAATGATGTGAGACAAAAAGCAAATTCGAGCAATTTTCTTGGGTTCAAAATGGGTCATAAAGGAGAGTAGACAACTTGCAACATCAACAATGCATTTGGCCCAGGAACAGTTAGCAAACATACAGGGCAGTGCTGGGTCAAGAAGTTCTGCAGAGGAGATGAGAGCTTTGAAGATGAGAAGTGTAGCGACTGGCCACTGGAAGTTGACAATGACCAACTGAGAGCAATCATGGAAGCCAGTCCTCTTACAACCACACGAGAAGCTGCCAAAGAACTCAAAGATGACCATTCTATGGTCGTTCAGCATTTGAAGCAAACTGGAAAGGTGAGAAAGCTAGATAAGTGGGTGTCCCAGGAGCTGAGCGAAAATAAAAAACATCATTGTTTTGAAGCATCATCTTCTCTATTCTACGCAACCATGAAGCACTTCTCAATCAGATTGTGATGTGCAACAAAAAGTGGATTTTATATGACAACCAGTGATGACCAGCTCAGTGGGTGGATCAAGAAGAAGCTCCAAAGCACTTCCCAAAGCCAAAGCTGCACCGAGAAAAGGTCCTGGTCGCTGTCTGGGGGTCCGTGCCGGTCTGATCCACTACAGCTTTCTGAATCCCGGCAAAATCATCCCATCTCAGAAGTGGGCTTGGCAAGTCGATGAGACGCACCGAGGACCCAACACCGGCAGCCAGCACTGATCAACAGGAAGGGTCCAGTTCTTCACAACAACACGTGACTGCACACTGCACAACCAATGCTTCAGAAGTTGAATGAACTGGGCTATGAGGTTTTGCCTCATTTGCCATATTTACCTGACCTCTCACCAACCAACTACTTCTTCAAGCATCTTGACAACGTTTTGCAGGGAAAACACTTCCACACCCAGCAGGATGCAGAAAATGGTTTCCAAGAGTTCATCGAATCCTGAAGCATGGATTTTTATGCCACGGGAATAAACAAACTTATTTCTCACTGGCAAAAATGTGTTGCTTGTAATGGTTCCTATTTTGATCAATAAAAATGTGTGTGAGCCTAGTTATGATTTGAATTTCACAGTCTGAAACCACAATTTCTTTTGCACTAACCTAATAATGAAATCATTATGGCTACAGTTTTATAAGTGACTGCTATACAAAGCCTTTCAGATAATCTCATTTGATTATTTTTGTAACCTGTAAGTTATCTTCATTTGGAAATGAAAGCCACCAAAGTCAAAAGAAGGTGAGCTTCTCACCAAAATCCAAACATCTTGTTAGTGGCTCTGCAGAGGCCAAAATCTACATGGAATTCAAAGCCACCAATCCCACAACACAAGACTCTTTCCAGAACATCTATTTAATATGGCCATTTAGCTGAAAGACATATAAAAAATAACTGCAAATTTCAAATATATAAAGCTGAGCAGAGTATCATAAAACAGTATTAGGAATAAAGTTCATGATTTGCAACGTATTGCTAAATACAATTTTTTAACAAAAACAAAAATGCCTTTGAAAATAATCTGAACATTTAAACTGTAAACATATATAACAAACATTATCTCGTAATACAATGTGTGCTACGTAAGATAAGCAGTAAGCAAACATCCAGTTGGTAATATTTGGGAAATTTACTCGTTTGACCACATTCAAAACACTCTCAGAGGGTGTGCTGGGGTAGGTGTGGGGGATGCCACCTTTCAGTTGCCAGGGACGATTCCAATTATGCCCCTTATCTCAATGTAATCATAAATATGCTCCTTGTGCTATTCATGGTTTAGACAATTAACTATATGATCACCCAGCTAGAACAGAGGGCAGTCACTATGTCAGATGCCTTGTGGTGGAGGGTCTGAATACAGGCATCCTGGGAAAGCAGGTGGCCACAGAGCACAGTGCCCGGTAAGTCAGTGGGCAGGGGCCTCAGATCTCCATGAAGACTGCCTGTTCCTCAAGCTCATGCTGGACTGACACCCCCACATCCCACATGGCTGTGTGCCTCCAGCTACGCAGTTCCAGGTGACGTGTAACCAATGGACTGAGTGAAAATAAGCTGGCGATTTTCACATTTTTCTCATAAAATCTCCTTCCCACAATCCACCATGTCTGATACGAAATTGCCCCACAATGTTGTTGATGCTTAGTATTGACACAGAGTATCTTCCCCAAACCCTTTCACTCTGTCTTTTTGTTAAACGTGTTTCTTGCAAACAGCATAAAGTTGGGTCTTGTCATTGACCGCCACTTTTTAATTGAAGTCCTTGTTCCTTTAACCTGTGAGGTAAGTTTTGATGCGGTTTCATTTGATTTCACCATGTCTGCCATTTGTGTTCTGTTTGGATACTGTATTCTTTGTTCTTCTTTTCTGTCTTCTTTGAATGAATCAAATATTTCTTAGTATCCCATTGCATCACTTGTAATGCTTTTTTTTTTAACATGTAGATTCTTAAAATTTCCTAACAGTTTCTCTAGCTGAGAATAAAAATTTTTCCATATCACCAACTACCATCAAATACAGTATCACTTCATGAACAATGTAAGAATCTTCAAAGAATTTTAGAAACTCCTCCCATCCTCTATAGTCACACTGTCATGATTTCCATAGCTATAAGCCCCCAAATGTAGTACTTTATTTATATATATAAACTTAAATTTATATTTCAGTATATATACATATATATAAGTATATATAAATGCATTAAAACATACATAAATTACATATGTGGATATGTACTTTTTATATTTAATTTCAGGTGCTTTATATTTCACCCTGCGGTTCACATTTCTATCTGCTTTCATTTCCTTTCAGTCTGAAGTACATCTTTTAACATTTTTTGCAGTGCAAGGCTGTTGAAGGGTTTAATCTTTTTATTTTACTTCTGATTGAATGGGTCTTTAATACACGCTCATTGTTGAAGAATACTTTCACAGATACAGAATTCTAGGTTCATTATTTTTTCATTTTAGCACTATGAAGATAGGGTTCTATTTTATTCTGGCCCCTGTTGTTTCTAAGAAGTTGGCTGTCTTTTAAAATTATTTCTACAGAAGTATTTTATCTTTTTAATCTTCTGTTTTTAAGATTTTTCTATTTACTCTCACTTTCAGCAGTTTGATTATCGTATGCTTTTAAAAATGATTTTAATTTTATGCTGTTTGGAGTCCAGTGAACTTTTCAGGACATGTATTGATAACTCTCACTGATTTCATAAATTCTTGGCCATTGTATGTTCAAATATCCCTTCTGTTCCATTCTTCTGGGAATCTACTTAAGTTAGACTCTGCTATTATCTCATAAATGTGGATGATTTTTGTTTAATACACCTTTAATTCAATGCCTTTTCCCCCATGTGTTTCGGTTGAATTATGTGATTGATCTTCAATTTCAGTATTTTGTTATGTCCACTCTTCAGTTAAGCCCAATGATATAATTATTCATTTCTGACATGTTTTTCATTAATAACCTTTCTGCTTGAATTGTTTGTACTTTCTGTTTGCGAAATCACACATGTGATTCATAGTTATTTTCCACTCCCTTCAGGAGCACTCTGACGTCAGGGTCATCCCTGGGTCTCCTACTCTCACACCGCATTTTGCTGTCCTGCTGAAAGCTTTCCTTTCTGGTGCTTTTGGGGAGAGTCAGCTGTGCCTGAGAGGGAACTCTTCTCTCGGCCCTGCTGCCCCACTCCCAGGCTTCCGCAAATGCCTCCTGCTTCTTTGAAGGGCTGGTGGGCAAATGCTCCTTGGTTGCAACTCCTGGGAAGTCTGTGCACCCCACCCAGTTAAATGCAGCTTTTCAAAGTTTTGTGGAATGTCCAGTTGGTTTCTCCTTAGCTCATCTGTGAGGAGCCCGGCAGCATCACCGGTGGGTATCTGCTCCTCTGGAAGGGCTTATACTTTATGAATTTTAAAAAAATGTATGTTTCTTTTTTAGAAAGCTCTTGCATAGATTGTCAGGTGTCAATGATCAGTTTTCTGAACTTCGTCCTTGGAATGGAGCAATACAAAAATATTCCATTATTCTTGGGTATTACTTGGTAGTATTTAAGAGCAGAGATAAAGAAAACAATTACCAAAGAAAAAAATGAATGTATACTATAAATCTATAACAAATATGTATCACAATAAAAACGCAAGTGATACATCAGAAAAATGGAATCAGGCATAAGAGGCCTTTCACAGAAGTAACTGAGAGATTTTAAAGATATGAGAGTTTATCTATGTGTAGTCATGGTTTACAGTGGATACTACAGTCTCCTGCTACTTTCCACATCTAAACACAAAGTGTGAGGACAACTAAGATTTTTACAGTTGTTTCATATCAACTAACAGTAGAAATACCTATTTGGTATGTACAATGTGGTAGATCTTTTGCTAAGCAGAGAAACAAAAATATGCATTGTCACCAAGCTGTGTATGTATGTATATGTGTGTATATATGTGTATGTATATGTGTTTGTGAGTGTGTGTGCACACACACATTTTTTTCCATTTTATATAATAAATCACTTACTAATACACCATGAAGTGTAGGTTGACATTTATTAAGCCTAATTTTCAAGCTCAATGTCATCACATTTCCTTTTAAGGGGAAGTATTCTATAACTCAGAAAAATCAAGGGAAAATTTGTACATGCAAAAATCAACTTAAAATCATGCTTAACTCAACATTTTACGTACCACAGAAGAGTCATAAGGTAGAGCTGGTGCCCAATATGTTTTCTTATTTGAAGAATGACCATTAATTTTGTTATACTTTGGAGATACAATATTACATCTCTTATTTTTCTTTTCTTTTTCTACTGGATTAACCATGCCCTTCATTTTTGGCACTTTCTGATCATTAATCCATGTATAGCTTTTTATTTAGTCATTTATTTGACTACATTTCTTTATTATTGTCATACCCAAAACCATGAGAAAAAATATAATTCTAATAACATAGCCCCCACTTCATTCCTCTGCTCCCATCCACCCAAAGTTGCCAGGATTCTGAATCCTATCTTTTATCATTTTTTGCTTTTATTTCTATGTCTCCTTCTAGACAACCACAAAAGTATATCCTTGGTGCATGGCTGATAGTGGGCTTGATCATGGTCAAATTCAGGAGATAATGACAAACATGGCCATCGGAGTTATTGCAGAGCCATTTATATTCCTACCAGCAACTTACAATAATTCCAGTGAATGCACACTCCTTCTAATAAAGCTTTTTATTTTCAGTCAAATGGTGTGAAAATCCTTCATTGTAGTCTTTGTGCTTCTTTCCTTCATTACACTCATGTTTGTGATTAACATGTTACTTCTGTGAAACGCCTTTTATGTCTGATTCCATTTTTCTGATGTATCACTTGCATTTTTATTGTGATACATATTTGTTATAGATTTATAGTATACATTCATTTTTTTCTTTAGTAATTGTTTTCTTTATCTCTGCTCTTAAATACTACCAAGTAATACCCAAGAATAATGGAATATTTTTGTATTGTTCCATTCCAAGGATGAAGTTCAGAAAACTGATCATTGACACCTGACAAGAACTGTGAGGGTTTTAAGATTTTACCTAAGTTCAAGCTAACCCGTTATCCAGCAACAGCGCATGGATGCTGGCAGAAGACATGAGACACCTGGCTTGGAGACAAAGGACTAAAGGACTTTGTTACTCAGAAACAAGTAGGACACAGAACACTCACAATTTCCTTTATGATTTCTTGAGCCTGATATCCCATGAAGCACCAAGAGGGCCAGATGATTGACAGCTGTATACCCGGTGGGTTGTGTTACCGAAGAGAAACCCTGAACGTAGGAAACTGAAACTTTAACTATGTTCAATAAGCATGGCTGCCCTTTTATCAGAGGCAAAACACTACCTCAACCTCGGAAAGCTGTTTACTGTACAAACATCCTTGAAAAGGTTGTCTGGAACAAAGGCAATCAGCACTTCTGCACACAAGTTGTACAGAAATGTGACCCCATTGATCATGATCTCACAATACCTTTCTAATATCTGATACACATACTCCATTTTTGTTAATTGCCTTAACAGTGTCTATTATCATTCCTTCCACTCCAGCATCCAACCCAGGACCACACAGCTCTATGTTGTCTCGTCTCTTTTACCTTTTCACCCTTTGTTTACCTTTCTTGATCTTGACTTTTTTTTCTTTTTTTGGAAACATGGGTCAGTTATTTTGTGGAATGTTCCTCAACTGAAGTTTGTGTGATTGTGTGAGGGTTAAACCGGTTCAGGATGCGCCTTTTTTGCAGGAATACCACAAGTTTACATTTCTATCACTGTTGTCCTTCTCATTTGTGGTGTTAATTTTGATCACTTGGTTAAGTTGTGGACCCACAAGTTTCTCCACTCTACTGTTACCATTTTTTCCTTTGTAATTTCTAAGTAATTCATGGGAGGACACATCAGGACTGTGAACATATCTTGCTCCTGGTCTGACTTCACCCACTGGGTTTAAATCCATTGATAGCTTTTATTATAACTTCAGCATTTGTTCTTGATTTATTAGTTGGCATCTAACTACAAGTACACCTTTTTCTTCTTTTCCATTTATTTACTCATTTATTTCAGTATAAACCCACTATTTCTTATTTCATTCAAATACTTGTAATTCGTTAGTATCATTTTTAGGTTCATATTTGAATTATTCCAGGCTTGGCCCATGGGACACTTTCAAGCTGACTTTTCTGCCCTTCACACCTGTCACTCTTTCAGATGAACTTATACTTAACCCAGTGCTGGAGCCAGACTGTCCTCAGGGGCCCTGGTTTCCTTTAGTGAAGAAGAAGGGCGTTTAGAATCCTAAGCCAGGAGCTGGGATTCTCATGCTAGAGGGTGTCTTTGGTTTCAGGACTGCTCAGTGCTCCACGGCAGGACACTTCTATCTCCGTATCTATGCACCTCTCTCTCTCCAAACACACACACAGTACACACATACACAAGTGTATTAATACCTACATATCCATTAGATAGTTATCAATATTAAACAACTGAGTTCACACCGGTATCTTTCATTTCTTGAAAATGAACCTTTGGTTTTTTCTGTGTAATTTTCAGTTTGTAACTTTTTACTTACTTTAATTCAAATGTTTTATTTTACTGTAATTACATTTATCAAATGTTTCATTTATCCCTAAAGTATTTTAGTCTTGGCATTAAACATCTTTCCTACACTAAGGCCTGTAGATAAGAGTACATTCCAGTTTGTATTATTTTTTGACATGATGTAAAGTAGGGATAAAATGTAATCCTACTTCATGTGGCTAACCATTCTTTCCATCTCTTTATATAAAATATTTTATTTCCACAGTGATCAGCCATGCCACTTTTGTTATGTATCTCCTATTTCTGAGCCCTATATTTGATTCAATTGAACTTTTGTACCCCTGAACCCGTATGACTCTGTCTTAGTTTATATAGATTCATGGTATGTTTGTAGTAATTAAATGGAAAAATCTAGCTTCCCAGCACTATTTCAGAAATGTCTCAGCTTGTTTTGGATCTTTAAGCTTTAGTATATTTTAGATTGTTTTTTAAAATGGTCTCTAAGCAAATAAAATTTTAACAACTTTTGTCTAAGATTATTCATGTTATGCCCTCTGAGAAAGAGGGTTGAGGGAGTTTTACATTTCCATTGTCACGGTTTTCCTTACACTTCAAAATTCTACAAAAGAGAAATTTATAAAATAAAAAAGTTATTTAAATGAAATAGTAAAGATTACAAATTATATATCCAAAAGATTAAAGTTCCAAAAAATATTCAAATCCAATTGTGACTCCAAGTTTCCATTAGAATCTCAGAACACACTTGTATTTATAAAACCTGCAGAATCCTTCTAGTCAACTTCACATTGTATAAGCTTCATCATCTTCCAAATGTTTACATAGATATCTTGACTGATTCTTATTATTATTATTTTTGCCCTTTTGCAGCTGAAAACTCTCAGTCCAGGAGAAGAAGGACTTGTGTTATTTGGCTTTCCCAGGAAACTCCTACATTCCTACTCAAGATTAAATCTAAAAACAGGTTTGTAGAATATTCACTCCAGCTCTAAGAGATGGCAGAAGGCGCCAGGAGTCCATTGCCAGGAATGCACTTTCCTCAGTCTCGCAGATGGAACTTGCAGACGGCAAAGCTAAGCAAAGGGCAGTGCAAGAGGTAAGGCAGTTCAAAGACGAAGGGGAAAGATGCATTTGTTTTCCAGTTTTTCTGAAAGCAACTGAGACAAGGAAGGAAATGCTGCCCAAAAGTGAGCCCAGCTAGAAGACAAACGGCGACATTTAAAGACGGAACGCAGGTGTGGTCCCATGGCTGCCATCCTGCTCTCCCTCCTGGGGAGACAGTTGTACAATAGTCCATCTCAGAGAGGGCACCGGACCAGTGACAGTGATAAGAGCCTTCAAGAAGGGCTCTGGCACATGGAAGCTCAGTTCATCTGACTTTCATTAGGGACCACAGGCTTGTGTGGCACAAACAGGTGCCATTAGTTAGGTACAACCAGATGCTTTTGATGGTGCTTGAGATGAACCACGAGCATCTACAGAGACAAGTTGGTAACTTCTGACAAAAACTCCACCCATAGCCAAGGATGATGCTATTCCCATGCAGGTCCCCAATGCACAGGACACTGTAAATAGCAACCAGGGTTCACCCTGTGCTCAACCAAACTTTAATCAGACAAAAGCATCAGTGTGAACAGCAGCTGAGGAGACATGAGGATTTTTGCGTCTATGTGGTAACAGGTATTGTGGAATTATATGGAAAGCAATGTATTTATCCATAATCCAACATGGAGCAAATTAAAATACTGCCAATAAACCCACTAAAACCAACATTATGTAAAATGAAAACAGGGAGAATTTCAAAGAAATAATGTCACATAACTTCCAGTGTCCTTTATTCATTTAACACTACTGGTGTGTTGTTTGCTTTTTAAAAAAAGAATCCAATGCTTACTCTGCCTGTACTTTCACCACATGCTGTGGACCCAAAGGTCAGAGACAAGACAGAAACACTACCCTATTGAGACGACATTCATCTCCCCATTCATTCTTTTTTTTTTTTTAAATCCTGTACTCTAAATTTACATGTTGGTAGAAGAATATTCATTTTTGACACATAATCCTATCAGTCAGCAACAATGGATGATGAACAAGGAAAATAACAGCAGAAAAGAACGCCGATACAAATGTAAGTTATTTATATTGATTCAAATATAATTTTTCAAAGTTTTTTAATTTTTGTCTTTTTGAGATAGTGTCTCCCTCTGTCACCCAAGCTGGAGTGCGGTGGTGCCATCCCAGCTCACTGCAGCCTCGACCCCCAGGGCTTAAACGATTCTCCTGTCCCAATCTCCTGAATAGCTGGGACTACAGGTGTGCGCCAATTTTATTTTTTTAAATTTTTTGTAGAGACGGGGTCTCACCATGTTGTCCAGCTGGAAGATTTTTTTGATAATGCAATTTTATGGTAATTGTTTAAATATAGAAAGATCCTGTGCACATTCAGAGGTATTTATATTTCGCCACTTGCGATGGTTAATACTGAGTGTCAACTTGACTGGACTGAAGGATGCAAAGTACTGATCCTGGGCATGTCTGTGAGGGTGTTGCCAAAGGAGACTAACATTTGAGTCAGTGGACTGGGAAAAACAGACCCACCCTTAATCTCAGTGGGCACCATCTAATCAGCTGCCAGCATAGCCAGACTACAACGGCTAGAATGGCTTAGTATCTTTCTCCCGTGCTGGATGCTTCCTGCCCTCGCACAGTTCTAGCCCCAAAGACTCCAGCTTTGGCGCTAGAACTGGCTTCCTTGCCCCTCAGCTTGCAGACGGCCTATTGTGAGAATCTGCAATCGTGTGAGTTACTGCTACTTAATATGCTCCCCTTTACATATATGTATCTATCCTATTAATTCTGTCCCTCTAGAGAACCCTGACTAATACACCACCTCTCCTTTCAGGCACACAGAAGAGAATCAGGAAGATGAAATACAGCCAGAATAGACATCAAAAAGAAGTTGATGAGGTATAATTACAGACAGTACAGTGCAAATATTAACACAGTCTTTTATGAATAGTGCCAGGTTAGTCCTCAGAATAAATAAATTACAGCTGCAATTCACAGCTTCCAGCAGAAATAGGCCAGCTGCTTGCAGGACAGGCCTGGCCCCAGCTCGCATGCTCAGAAGGCCCCGTTCAACCCTGCACTCCCAGGTCCTGGAGGAAGCTGCACGCATCGCTCCCGAAGCACAGCGCTCTCCCTCCCTCCCCACAGCACAGCAACATGCAGCCACCGGCGGCTCTCCCTCCCTCCCTCCCCACAGCGACCGTGCCTCCTCCCTCCCTCCTCCCTCACAGCGGCGCTCTCCCTCCCTCCCTCCCTCCCCACAGCACGGCAGGCGCTCCCTCCCTCCCACCCCCTGGCGGCGCACGCCGTCCCTCCCTCCCTCCTCCCTCCTCACAGCGCAGCGCTCTCCCTCCCCTCCCCACAGCCACAGCACGGCGCTCTCCTCCTCCTCCCCACAGCGGCGCAGTGCACTCGCTCCCTGCCTCCCTCCCCCTCCCTCCCTCCCCACAGCACGGTGCTCTCCCTCCTCTCCTCCCTCCCGCAGCCATGGCTGGCGCTCTCCCTCCCTCCACCCTGGCCGTGCCGTGCACTCCCTCCCTCCTCCTCCTCCCTCCACTCACAGTGGCGCTCTCCCTCCCCTCCCACAGCTGCTTCAGCGCTCCTCCCTCCACCTCCCTCCCCACAGCGGCGCCGTGCACTCACTCCCTGCCTCCTCCTCCCTCACCGGCGCGGCGCTCTCTCTCCTCCTCCCCACAGCACCGCGGCGCTCCTCCCTCCCACCCCACAGCGCGGCGCTCTCCTCCTCCCACAGCACAGCATGGCGCTCTCCCTCCTCCCTCCCCACAGGCGCGGTGCTCTCCTCCCTCCCTCCCCACAGCACAGCATGGCGCTCTCCTCCTCCCATCCCCACAGTAGCGCGGTGCTCTCCCACCCTCCTCCCACAGCAGGCGCCGTGCCCTCCCCTCCTCCCTCCTCCTCTGCGCGGCTCTCTCCTCCCTCCCACCCCACCCAGCGCCGTGCCTCCCCTCCTCCCTCCCACCCCACAGCGCGGCGCTCTCCCTCCTCCCCTGGCACAGCATGGCGCTCTCCCTCCCTCCCTCCCCACGAGCGCGGTGCTCTCTCCCTCCCTCCCTCCCACAGCCTGGCATGTGCGCCTCTCCTCCCTCCCATCCCCGGCGCGGTGCTCTCCCTCCCTCCCTCCCCACAGTGAGGGCGCCGTGCCTCCTCCCTCCTCCTCCCCCTCCCACAGCGCGGCACTCCCCTCCCTCCCCAGCCTTGCGTGGTGCCCTCCTCCCACTCCCCACATCCCTGCGCAGTGCCTCCCTCCCTCCCACAGCACAACCGCGCCCTCCCCCTCCCTCCCCACAGCCCTGCTGATGCCCTCCCTCCCCCTCCCACAGCACAGCAAGGCGCCTCCCCCCTCCTCCCACAGCCCTGTGTGACCTCCCTCCTCCCCACCCAGCACAACCACAGCCCTCCCCCTCCTCCCCACAGCCCTGCGTTGTGCCCGCCCTCCCTCCTCCCCACATCCTGCGGTGCCCTCCTCTCCCACAGCCACAACACAGCACCCTCCCCCTCCCTCGACCTGGGTGTGCCGCCCTCCCTCACAACACAACCGCCTCCCCCACAGCCCTGGTGTGCCGCCCTCCTCCACTCCCCACAGCCTGTGCGCCTCCCCTCCTCACAGCCCTGCTAGGTGTGCCGCCCTCCTCCGTCCCACCTTTGGCCGAGCCCTCCCCCACCCCCACAGCCCTACGCAGATGCCCTCCCTCCCCTCCCCCAGCCCCTAACACAATGGCTCCCTCCCTCCTCCCCACACATCCCTCGCGGTGCCCTCCCTCCCTCCCCTCCCTCCCCACATCCCTGCGCGGTGCCCTCCCTCCCTCCCCACAGTGAGGCGCTCTCCCTCCCCCATGCACTATCCCTCTTAACCACTTCCCTTAACTTACTCAACTCCTTACTTCAGAAGCAAGCTGAAGCCCATCCTCAGGGAGTCCTCCCTGTGTTCATGGTGGTGTGCACCAGCTTCCCACCAACGTGGGAGCCAGCGCAAGCCCTGGGTCCCAGTTGCCTCTCCCCTCCTCCCTGTGTCCACCAGGAAACAGTGGGGACAGGGAGCTGTCTGAGAGATGAAGCTGCAGCCCCCGGGACCCACTGCGTGCCCGGGACAGATCAGACCCTCTAGGAAATACCTCTGATGAGATGAGACCATCTCCTGTCTAGGCAAGGGTTAATTTGCATTCAGCATGTAACACGGAGCACGGAGGACTCCTGCTGACCCCACCCAGCTCTGTGGCGTCCTGCCCCAGCCTCACTCCTAAAGACACCTGGTCATTCCGCACAGCAACGGAGGGCTGGTGCTGCAACCCAATGGAAATTACAATTCAGAGCCGTCTAAATAAAGGCAGGGTCACCTTAGAAAACGGAAGTGTTCGCACTGTTAAATCAAATCCTTCATGGTAACCCAAGGAGAATGGATAAGATCAATTATTGTTCCAGGTTTCCTCCAAATCTGAATTTCTGCAACATGGTTTGATCTCTATGAATGACTAACATTTTCATATTAAAACTGGTAAATAGTTGTACCTGCTACTTGATAAAAACATTTCTAGCATTGAAAATCTGAAGATCACACTGACTCAAAATTAGTATTTTTGTCTCTGACAGGTATTCAGCACACTGATCTAGTGACATCCATGAAAAATCCTGACCCACACAAGGCAGGTCGTGAGCCTCCACAGTGGGTGGAAATGCATTCTTTCTGTGTGGGTTCATCAGAATATGGTACCCACTCTAGGCAACAGCACTGGAAAGAGTCACCTACACAAAATGAAAAACTTACAGAAAAAAGCCCCAAGCGGAACGGCCCCAAGCCATGAAGTGCACACATTCACACTCCTCTCGCACAGCCCGTCTCCTGCCAACGTGAAGCCACACTCTTCTCTCTTGGCTCCCTGCAGTCACGGCCACGTCTACAATGTGAGTACAGAGTGACAGCATTTACAGCATCACACAACATACCTGACGTGGGCTGCACAGAGGACGTAACAGCATTTCTAGCCTCGCACAGCAGTACCCGATGCAGGCTGGACAGAGTTAGTGAGAGCATTTACACCACCACAGGGCAATACCTGACGCAGGCTGGATAGCGGAGGTGAGAACATTTATAGTATCACACGACAGTACCTGATGCGGGCTGGAGAGAGTTAGTGAGAGCATTTACACCACCACACGGCAGTACCTGACGCAGGCTGGATAGAGGAGGTGAGAACATTTATAGTATCACACGACAGTACCTGATGCGGGCTGGACCAAGGAGGTGAGAGGCAATTGTTTTCTGAATGAAATAAAGACCAAAGGAATCAGTAGGGGAAAGAAAAAACAAAACAAAAACAACAAACAAAAAATCACCCTGGCAATATTTTTAACTTCTAAAATGGCCAATTTTCATCTCATATATTACAAGTGTAATGGTAGACCCTAATTACAATTACATTATTCTGTTTTACCTTTTTCATTTTCCTAATTTAGATTTTTCATTTGAAAATGTACCTCTTTGAAAATCCAAAAATACATCAACATAACTTCAGATAATATAAAAAGTGATATTCTGATCTATGGTCTGGGGAAAAGACTTAATTAGCATGGAGCTTAATTATGCTATTGCTGTGTACCCTGGGGTGTCTCAGGAATGTGTCCCCTCCAGGGGCTCCCAAAATCACCAGGGCGGCTCTGTGGGGTTCACAGGGATATTACTGAGACCTTCTCTAACATCTCTAGCCAAGTAGGACGGCGTCCTAAACCTGCTAGGAAGAGTGACAAAACCACTGTAGGAGCCTGGGATTTCCTTTCAGGAATCCTTCAAACTCAGTCAAAATGAGAGCCATACTGAAAATCTCCGAAGTCCTCTAACTAAACCCCTTATTAGAGTTAGATAATTAAAAATGCTGGACCATAGAAGAATTAACCAATTCCTTGGCATGAAGAAGAATGAACTCCTAGTCCCCTGAAGATGCTCCAGCCACAGCCCAGGTGTGGGCAGCCTCTCTCCTTGGGTGGGAACAACTGAGGCCTGATGCTTAGGGATGCAGGAGAAAGGGCCAATTTCCACCACCTGACAAGGTGGCAGGGCACCCCCGAGCCGCACCACGGGAAACAACCAAAGGTTCAGGCCCGCTCATCTGAATCAGGGTGGCAAGGGCACAGGTCCGC